CTAGCGGCAGAAGCTCGTACTACATCCGGTTCGCCCTCTATTGACACAGTCTGGAAACTTTTCGATCGCACCTCGTATATAACATTAAATTGGTATTTCTTATATCTTCAAAACAATTACACACAATGATAATCAGAAAATCATGTGATATTTGGAATGAGGCTTCTTTCGTGATTTGAAGAATACGACACATTCTTTATTGAAATATTATTTTATGCCTCTAAGCCCAAATTTTATACCCTAATAATAATAATAATTCAATTCAATTCATTTATTTAAGTGCTTGACAACAGCCAAAAAGGCCAATAAACTCCAAGCACTAAACCAGAGTACAGGATAAAATATAATAAATAATTAAATTCATTTCAGCAATAATAAAAGTAAAACATTACAAATACAAAAACAAACAAAAAATGAAACTAAATATATAAATGTACCATATTAATAATAATAATTCTATTCATTTATTGAATCATATTCCACAAATAAATGGGCTAAATACGATACCTAACAATAACAATAATAATAATGAACTTTGAGGTCACAACAGAACGGATATCCGCTTACCACACAGTTCAGCCAAAGATCATCGTACATATGAGCCAAGTAATCGTTAATGCTGTTGCTGAAGTCATAAGCGGTCGAATAGCTGAAGAGGTCGGTGATGAGTCTGAAGTTAAAGGAGAAGTAGACCCGTGGGACACTCGGTATACCATAGCAGTCCATTGCTTGCTGTGCAGAGCCACGCGCTTCGAGCTTAAGCACCCTGCAAGTACCACGTGTTGTAACAGCATCGAGAGGTTTTGATCTGAGTGATCTTATTTCTACCCGGAATCTGTCGATTAAAGGATCCAGCGTCGGATCTGACACAACGGTTATTCGCTATTGTCACTAAATCAAACGAATCAACAGTGAGAAATTTATTTAATTAACTAAATATATAAATAAATATCCAAGTATTTAACTAGGTGACTAGCTAAGTAAGTTGCCAAGGTTGAATGTAGGTAAAGAGGTAATTAGGCGACTAATCAGCTAAGTAAGCAGGTCATTAGGGGAAGGTCGTACGAGTATAGTACCGGACAGCGTTCATTATCAGACAGCGCTTACTTTTCCGAAACGTAGCTATTTAGTGACACTTGTCAAGTATCGGAGTCTTGTCTATGTTCGTCACAGACGACAGTCCTTAGTTGGAGTAAATCCGTTTAGCCGGTCAGCCGCTGTGAGGGAATCTTTCAATTTGTACAAATTTTGATCTACGTTGTTTACTTTTTGGAAGGCTGTATCAACTAATTCTGGCAAGTGAAACAATTATTCAAATTATTTTACTTTTGTTGTATCAACTACTGACTGTATATGTAGAATTATTTTATTCCAGCAGTAAGCACTGGATATACAGCAGCCATTTTCTCTTTACGTGTCTGTCGTCTAATATCGGACAGTGTGGTTTCTGGTAGTACCGGACAAACAACAATTTTCGAAAATATTATTTAAGAATAAATACAATTTAGTTTGCTTCTATTTTTTGGAGAGATAACTGGTTTTGGTGTTTCTTTATTTTGTTTCATGCATTAAAATTAAATTTGATATTAGAATGGACGACAGCCCAATGCAAAAAAGAAACGAGGACAATCGACAGAAGATCAAATGAAACTTGCTATAGATAAGGTTAGGAATAAGGAGATGTGTTAAGAGAAGCATCAGATACTTTTTCAGTCCCCAAAAGTTCTCTTGGAGATGGACTAACAACATTGCAAGAAGGAGAAATGGTAAAAATGACACCCGACATTGGTTGATTTCGGAGAAATTTCACCTACAACAGCGTGCATCATCTGTTCAGAAATATTTGACTAGGACTGCATACAATGTCTTGTAGTGGTTGGGCGCATGAAAACTGAGCCGATACTGAGTGAAATATGTCATATTACAAATGTGATTCCTGAAAAATACGTTAAGATTCATAAAGACTGAAAGTTTCTATCAAAACGGAAAAAAAACCCATTATAAGTACAGTAGTGTCCGATACTAGACGCCAATTTTTGTAATGTTTAAAATGTAAACAATTTTCTAAACACATTTTTATTTACTTTTTTGGCAATTTGTTTTATTCAAAATACATGTTTCACGAAGAAAAAGGGTTCAAATTTGTGAAAATTAATATTTTTTAATTTCAAATTACGCATTCCTCCCCTCGCTCCGAAATCCTTAGGTGTCCGGTACTATACGACCTTCCCCTAGTTAAGTAAGTGACTCAATCCGTGGACTAGATCCTATTTGACAATATAACATTTAATAACACTAGTTTTCTTATAAGGTGGGTGATTTGAAGTTGTTTGTACGCGCAGATTACGAAAACGGTAGGGACGATGATCGATAAGTTAAAAATTCAAAATGGTGGATGTTATAAAAATGTTGTCGCCCAGATTTAAATTAAGCCTATTTATAATTGTTAGTTTTCTTGTGGAGTGTAATTGCTCACCTCGCTGGCAGCATTGCTCTGTGTCGAATGGCGGCAAAAATTAATAGTTTATACTTCAAAATATCTAAACAGAGAATTTGCTGACATCTTAATAGTTTTGTTTATGATTTTACTGTTTCATAATTTCATTATCGCACTCTGAAACATGATTAGGCAAGAAACTTGTAATAGAATGGTCATTTAGATTGGTTGGGTAAGAAATGTGTATAGAATTTTCGTGAGAAATTTTCTTGGAAATAAGGTGTCCACTTGGAAAACCAAGAATATATCTGTTTGAGTGGATCTGAGGGAATTATGTTGTAGTCAAACGGACTGCATTTCATTGGCTCATAATTAACCCTTGTTTCTAGGTTATTCCACATGTTTGTAGCAACAAAGCAGTTTGTACTCATTTGCTTTAACCATATTCACAGCTACTCTCATCAATAACGTTACGTCATTAAATTACCATATCGCATGTTTCGGTGGGATTTTGTGACGAAGCTGTTTCATGGAGGGGCACAATTA